TAGGGTCTGGCTAAACCACTATGTAGGATCTGATTTTCTAGAATTCTGACAAAAGCAGAAGGCAGCATAGTATATTTTAGTGATAGTCAAGAAGTGTTTGTGTGCATGCAGGAAACTGTTTCGTATGAGTCCTCAATGGTTGCAGACACTTGTCAATAAAGAACATGTTGAGAAATATTTGAACTTGTTGGGGTTAGCAGAACTACTGAATGTGGCACTGGAAAAACTGAGTGTATTAACATCACAATATATGATACAGGATATAGGCTTATGGTAACAGTAACAGCAGGATCATTGTTATCGGAACACTGAGGACTATAGTAGGTAGATAGTAATTACTTTTTTTTTTAATGCAAACAGAAATCAAGAAGAGGGAGCTTCTTAGCTACCCCCCCCCCAAAAAAATCTAGTTATTACTAACATTTCTTGAAGCAAAAAATACCCCAGGACTTATCTTGCCTTTGGTCATTCTCCTATCCTTCAGGTTCTCCAGGGTCCTTAAAAACACATCTACACCACACAGCCATTGACTGCTTCTCTGTCACTTTTACTCTCAGTAATGTTGGGGATCATTTTTAAATGCTATGAGGTAAAATGCTTAAAATAGCGAGAAATACTACTCTTCTCAGGGATCGAAACTATGTAGAGAAATTATAACTGGCTTCGTAGACTTTCCCCCCAATATTCTGGTATACTTTTGCTCTGTGGAGCATGACTCAATTCTCAGTAAGCATCACACAGCTCACTAATGCCCCCAAGCCTTCAGAGCCGTGCTTCCAACTCTCTAAAACCATGTATCCAAATTTTGCTGCAGTGTGTACCTTTTCTTTGCTCAAACAGGCTGGCATGCTGTTATTACAGCATCAGACCACCATGAAGCTAAGCACTGTAGGAGGTGGTGCAGAGGATAATTTTTTTGTTCCAAGAAGGTGCTAGAAGTGGCCCAACATCAAGCAGACTCTAGGGTAAAGCACATACTAAGTGGCTCATTTAGGAACTTTTCTTACTTCATGGGCACAAAACAATGAAACTACACTATTTTTTTTAAATAAAAACAAATGCTAAACTGGAAGTCTTTTAAATCTAGAAATCTGCATTTTGAGACCTGGGCTTTAGGTGGGTTCTCTGATGTCCGGTTGCATCTCTGCTGGTGGCTTTTCCCTCAACTATAAATGAGACAGGACTGGAGTCTCTCGAATAGACTCTTAAAAAGACACTGAGAAATGATAACGATAGAAGAAGAAAACAGGTAATTTGAATGTCATTAGCATTCGGTGACACATGTAAACATTTTTGATATTATACACTACATGTATGTGTGTGTACCTATGTAGTCGATATGAAGTATTACACTGAAAATTCACATACATCTTCATTAAACAAAGTCTATTGTTAGAAGCACTGCAGAAGCAGCATTGTTTTGAATGGGAGAAACAGGACATTCTAAAGTAAAATCAAAATTTTGAATGAAAATACAATAAACAGCTAGTGGGTGTTATCTCACAGGAATGTTCAGTCAAGGTCTCCAAGAGACAGCATATAGTGAGGCTGAGTTTTATGTGAGAATTAGGGTGCAAATTCATGCAGGTAGGAGATAGACAACACTGGCCAGGCTTGTACCTATGGGATCATGTCAACCATGCCCCATTTCATAGAAGGGAAAATCAAACTCACAGGGAAGTAAAGTGACTTTTCCAACACTTTATAGCTTGGACTGAGCATCACCAAGCATGCATTGACATCCTCCTCAGTTTACTTTTCAGACACCTTGATGCTTCATCTTTGTCGTTGGTCAGTTCTTTTGACATCCTTCTTCAAGTAATTTCTGCTTTTGATTTCCTGCCCTCATAGGAAAGAAAGTCTATGACAGAACTTGGGACCACCCTCTTTCAGAGTAGTTTCCACTCCACTGGTACATCTGTTGAGTACTAGCATTTCCCTTGACAAACTTAGGGATAAGCATAGTCCTTAACAGAACAAGTAATTAAGTAATTAAACAAGCAAGAAAGGTTTGAGGGCAGGAAGGAAACAAAGAAGGAAGTGGTTTGGGAGAGAGTTCAAGCTCAGAATACAATTCTACTTAGAAAAATGAGACTAAAAGAAAATGCAGAGAGCTAAAATTAGCCTCTCACAATTTCTAGACTTGTTACTGGCATTATGCTATCTTTGCAACTCTCTTCTTCCTCTCTTTGAAAGCCAAATACATTACTAGTTGTCTTAAATTATCTTGTTTTACACACAAGGAACTCCAATCTGGATCTCTCAGTAAAGGGAGTAATAGGTAAAGGAAGGTATAAGTTAGACCCGCCTTGTCCCCTGAATCATACTACATGGGTGCCCCTGACTTGATATAGGATTAATGGAAATTAGTATGCCTACTTCCCAGGATGCAGACAGATTCACTGTAGGAAAATTTAGTTGTCTCCAAAATTTCAGGGCAGCATGGTGATCCTGTAAATCAAGGAGCTCTAGAATTTGAGTTCTTGGGTTTCCATTTTTCTTTATCCATTTAGTAGTCATGCAACTGCCTGACTCAATTTCCATATCTTTTTCACTCCCTGTGGGGCACCCACACCATAGGCTGAAACTCTGCTCAGGTGGACACCTGAGTGGACACCCTAAAGCACGTTCCTTAGGGACTGGCAAGGATCCAGGGTATGATAGCTGCAAATTTGGTGCTTCCTGAGCAAATAAAATAATGAAAAAGTACATTGGGGTAAACTTGTAATTTGGAGGGAAAGGAGATTCATTATGTTTATTAACATCATTCATCATAATTTCTGGAGATAAAGAGGCTACAGCATTTTCTGGATGCTGCAGATGAACATGCTCATGTTCTCTCCTTCAGTTGCTTCCTCCAACTTTCACAGTGGAGGAGATCTGTCACTCTAGCAGTGTCTTTTTTATATGGCAAATTACTTACTTGTTATATAGTCTTCTTTTCCCCTATCACTTTCATCCATCATGAATGATGCCTTTACTGTTTACTGTTCAGAAAAGTACCGTGACCTCCTTTTAACCCGTGATCACTGACACACCTTGGGGTAAAGGGTCAAAAGGTTGGATTAAAAAAGAAAAAGAGGCATTTGATTTTTTT